TAACTCTAAAAATGGGATTCCAGCTTTGCAAGGGAGATAAAAAGGAAAAAGAAGAAAGATTTGGGAGAGAGAAAATGTAAGATACATATGGAGGTGAAATGATTTTATATATATATATATATTAATTATATAATAAAAAATAATTATTTTTATTTTTTATCTCACTCACACTTTTTTATTAATTATTTAAATTTGATAATATTAATTAGTTATTTAGATCATTCACAATATTAGTTGTACCTAATGCGTTGACACGGCAATTGCAACAAAGGAAGTAAATTAATGACAAAACCGAAAAACTCATCTTTCACCGTCTTAGTACTCCGCTGTCTCGTTTTTTATTTAGAAATTTTAATCAGAGTAAAGAAAAAAAAAATCTTAAAAAATGGTGATTCTCGACTTCCTCCCATCGGGGTCAAAGAATCAAGGTGCTACTAGCTAGGGTCACTACCATGTTAGCGTAATTTAGGGGTGCAATTAATGGTAACCCAGTCATCGGCTGACATAGCCAATTGTGAGTTTAATACCCCTGTGGAGGACTAAACTTGAAAAAAAAAAAATAATAAAGGAGAGGATGAGATGAAAATGACATTGCTATAGTGGCATGTCATTTAAGATAGTCCGTTTACAATAATAAGATAATATTAAATAAGTATAATATGATATTAAAAAATAAATATATATAAAATTAAATATCAATTTTGTTTTTTTAATTTTACAGTTTTACATAATTTTTATTTTTTAATTTTTTTGTGTATTTTTTGTCTCTCAATTATAAAAAAATATTTTTTAAATACTTTCGTTATTTAATCTGTTAAGTTTATCTAAATATATATTTTTTGTCCTTTAATATAAAATTGAGAGACAAAATATGCATATATCAAAAATTGAGAAACTAAAAATATACAAATAAATTTAATAGATTAACTAATGGAAGGATTAAAAAAATATTTTTTTTTGTAATTGAAGGGTAAAAAAAGTGAATAAAAAAATTAAAAGATAAAAATTATATAAAATTTTAAAATTGAAGAATCAAAATTAATATTTAATTTATATACAATATTAATTAACTATTTAAGTAATTGGCGAAATTCATTATACCTAATATGGTGACATGACAATTAATTAATTTTTTTTATAAGAGTAATGGTTAGGAAGTTAGTTTGAATTAGTTGTTAGTAATTGGAAATTCGATCCTCAGATCGGGTGAAAATTTTACCCCCTCAAATGAGGCGCGTAGTCATTGGGCCGCTGTTTAGTGAAGTTCACGATGGTGATAGAATTTGAAACTTCAATCATTTTATCCAAATACTTAAAGTTTGAAATCAAACTATTAAATCTAAAAGTTCGATTTACGTCATTTAATATTAGTTATAGGTAATACGTTGACACGGCAATTGCAATAAAGGAAGCAAATTAATGACAAAACCAGAAACTCATCTTTCACCATCCTAGTAGTCCTCTGTCCCGGTTTTTATTTAGAATTTATTCAGAGTAAAGAAAAAAAAATCTTAAAAAATGGTGATCCTCGACTTCCTCCTATGGGGATCAACAATCAAGGTGCTACTAGCTAGGGTCACTACCATGTAAGCGTAATTTAGGGGTTGCAATGGTAACCCAGTTATAGGCTGACATAGCCAATTGTGAGTTTAATACACCCTGTGGAGGACTAAACTTGAAAAAAATAATAATAATAAAGGAAAGGAAGCACATGAAAATGATAGATTATAATTATAATATTATGTAATATTTTAAGTTTATAATTATAAAATAATATTTAATGAGTATGATGTATATAATATTATAAGTAAAATTTTTAATAAAAAAAATTAATTATATAAAAATAAATTATATTATAATCTCACAATATTACATAATATTATAATTATAATATTTTTGAAATGGAAAAACCACAAATTCATCTTTCATCATCTATAAGTGTCACATAAATGTGGGTAGAGACATCAACGACAATGCTGAAGAGTGGGTTGGGGCTGGCAAATTGCTCCCTCTCGTAGTTCAGAGGAGGGAAGGCAATTCGCCTCCCAAATTCTAAAAACGGCCAAAGGCTTTATGGTTTACTTGCTTATGACTTTAATTATGATCACGTTTAATTAAAAACAGTTGGCTTTATTTATTTACTATTTCTGTGTTTTTGAATTATTTTTTATATATTTTAAACTAATTTCTTTTTATGTAATTTTAAGAAGACACCTTACGTCAGTTTATTATATTTAAAAAAATTAATTTTCTTGAATATTAGATTTAAAACTTAAACTATAAACTCAATTTATAACAATATTTGCTTTTCAATGCATGTGGTTTTTATTAGACCATAGAGATGAAGTAAATTAAAAAATGATCTTGAAGTTATTCCAATAAACACTATGGGCGAGCATTTTAAGCTTAGTTTGACAACACTTATTTGTAATTGTAGGTGTAAGTTTTTTGTCCTTTAATATCCTAAAAATATATAAAATATATTTTGTATATTTAATATTTATTTTAATTAAGATTTTATATATTTTTAAAATAATAAAAAGACATAAAAACTAAAAAAAGTAAAATACTAAGAAGTGTTGTCAAATGATACCTTATTTAATTATAATAATTTAATAGGGCTTTTTATTTAATTAAGCAATTGAATTAATACCTAAGTTTGATTATGTTTGGCCTTTAAGCTTTGTGCCATTTGGTTTATATGAAAATATTATTTAATAATAAGCATTGATATTTTTCAATGGATAGCATCCAAAGCCCAAATATTTAGGAATAACTATCAGTTTGTGTGGGTAGAGAACAATTTTATTGAGAAAGTTTTTTATTAAGAAAATTGTAAAAAAAGTATTATATAGAAATTTAATAAATTTTATAATAAAGTTTTATTAGAATTTTGTTAAGTTACTATTTTTTTTTTTGTTTTTGGTTAAAAATAGTATAGAAAAAATTAGTTAAAAAGTTATTAAGTGAATCTTATATAGGAAAAGTTGAAGAAAACCTTTTTCCTTCAAAAAGTGTAAGAAGAAAAATTTATTGATTAAGAATTATGTTAAGAAAAATAAAAATTAAAAACATCACTTTTACTCTTTTGTCATTATAATATTAAAATATATAAATATTTAAATAACTATTTTAAAAAAATTAAGAGAAAAGTTCACTCCAACCAAACACAATCTACATTTGTAAGGGCGGGCCTTGAAGCCTAGTATTGTTCATTGAATAAGATCAAATTTCAGCCTATAAATTAACTTGTTCATATTTTTACCTATAATAATAATAATAATGATTTGTTGGGAATGTTTATTTATAATAATTCTCACAAACCAATAATTTTACCTATAAAAACATTTTTTTTCCATAGCCACTAACAAAAAAACTTTTTTTTTTTATTCTGCACAACTACTAATATAAAAATTTTAATTTAGGTTCAAGGTCAAAATTTAAATTTCTTTATTATCAAGTAACTAACTCTCAATGCAATTAAAGCAAAAAAAATCCTCATAACACTTCTATAATATCAAATGTGTAAAAACAAATCCATTTACACACCCCACTTGAATAAAAATAGTCAATAAAAATTAAGTTGCTTCGTGTTATAATATTTACTCTCAATAAATGTTGTCAATAAAGTATTTTTGTATTTTTATTATTGAAAAAGACAAGTTCAAATTCTCTTGCACTTAATATTAGTTTTAAAATTTTTTTTATCTTAATAATGGAGTCAAGATTCAAGATGCTAATAAGGTCACTGCCATGTGATGCTAACAACTGTTATATATGTCTCTAAATATATGTTTGGGTTGAGGGGAATTGGGGTAGGAAGGAAAATTTTTTTTAATTAATCAAATTATAATACTTTTTAAATATTATAATCTGATTTGTAAAAAAATCTTTCCTCTCCTTCTCTCTCCTTATTTTCATTCCTTTCAATCCACACATACTATAAAGTGTAATTTAGGGGTTGCACTGAAAGCTAGTATATGTTGACACCGCAAATTGCAATAGGATTTTTCTAATTGTATTATTATTATTATTATTTCTTTTGTTCGTTTTTAATAGTTTTAATTTAATTTTTTAATTTTTTGAACTTTTGTTTTTTCAGATATGGATTTCAATTGAAAATTTAATAATTTATATGAACAAAGCAATTGAAAAGTTTTTTTTCTTCCTATATGAAGTTCTTGTTGAATAATTTTATTTGATTAAAAAATTTTTAATTATTATTTATATTCTATGTTAAATTTTTATTTGAAATTCATGTTTAAAAAGTTAAGAAATCAAATTAGGATTACTAAAAATGGACCTAGGGAGTGATTGTTATAAAAAAAATAGAACTTATTTTTAATTAACTGTTTAATTAAAGGATAATTATTGGTATATTTTCTGGTTCGATATACCTATCAATACCTATCAACATCTATCGATTTATTTATTAAATTTTGCAAGTGAAATTTTTCTTACCTTAAATTTAAATTTGTAAATAATAATTTATTAATAAATATCTTGTGAAGTATGTTGAATTAAATGATACATACCAATCATTGTCCTTAATTAAAATTATACATGTGATATTGTTATTAAAAATAAAATTAACTTTTTGGTTTTCTTATACCAATTAATAAAAAAAATTAATCCATGCTTGATTTATGATTGTAGAACACATATTAGAAGAACTAATTGCAATAAATGAAGTACTCTTTTCATTCATTTTTAATAGATTTAATTTAACTTTTTGACTTTTTCAAACATAAATTTTAAATGAAAAATTAATATATATATATATATATTACATAAATGATAATTGAAATTTTTTTATCAAATAAAAGTACTTGACAAGAATTTTACATAAATTTTTTTTAATTGTTGTTTATATAAATTGTTAAATTTTTATTTAAAATTAATATTTAAAAAGTTAAAATCAAATTGAAATTATTAAAAACAAAGGGAGTGTGTAAATTAAAAACCACAAACTCATCTTTCATCATCCTCGTAAAGGAGTTGATCTGAGGAAGCCAATATCGTTGAAACATCAAGCATTAATGCAGAAGACTTGGACTGAGAAAAGGACTGCCAGATTGGACCTTTCTACCCTTTCTAGTTTGGAGGGTTGCAATTCCCTACCCGATTTTTAAAAACATGCGAAGGCTTCGTGGTTTGCTTATTACGATTTTATGATCACGCTTGGTTGGGTATAGTTGCTATTTTTTTGTTTATTAAACTATAAAAAATAAAGTAAATTAAAATAAGAGGCTAATTAACAGTTATTTCATTAAAACATGTTTTCCTCGGGCGTTCAGTTTAGCCTATTTGGTAAGAGTGCTGTGCGTCTGGTTATGTCTCATATAGACTAGCCTGTGATCTCCAAAGTCTTTGCTAGTTACTGTGACTATGACAGGGAAAAGACCAACATTGACTTCTCAAATTCTTAATTTGCCCCTGCTTTCACTTACACTTCTATTTATTCTCATTTAAGTACCAAACTTCTCGCAAGTTTTTGGAGCATTGTTTAAGGAAATCAACTTAAGCAGGTTCGATTTACTGGCTTTTCTCTTCTCTCTTTACTCCATCTCATTTCCTCGTTATCATAGAAATTTGATAGCTATTTGAGGCAAGTAAGTTGATGACAATTCAATAATAATAAAGCCATCTCTTTGATTTTGAGTTGTAGGTATTTCCCAGCATTAATGGAGAACATGATCATGAGCTTTACCTTCCTTGCAATGTGGTTGATGCAATGCTTCCTGGCTGCCTTAGCCATGTCTCAACCAAACTTCACCACAGACCAATATGCCCTTCTTGAATTCAAAGCTCACATCACTTCTGATCCTCACAATATCTTGTCTTTCAACTGGTCTTCTGCTACCTTAGTATGTAATTGGGTTGGTGTTTCCTGCAGTGCTCTTCATCATAGAGTCACAACCTTGAATCTTCCAAACATGAACCTCACCGGGAGCCTCCCTCCCAACGTGGGAAACCTCTCATTCCTTGTTTCTCTCAACTTGAGTGGAAACAACTTCCATGGCCATTTGCCTCTAGAATTGGGGAAGCTGCAACATTTGAGGCTCATGGACTTGAGCGACAATTTTCTTGACGGAAGCATTCCAAATGAGATTTGGTTGCTTTCAAAGTTGGAGATTTTTAGAGTGGGAAACAACCAGCTTACTGGAACCATATCAAGAAATATTGGGAACTTAACTAAACTAAGGATAATATATCTTGGATTCACAAAAATGAGTGGTATGCTTTTAGATTTTTCTAATTTGAATTCTTTTCTTTGATAGTATATGTTGAGAGTTAAGTAGGGATTCATCATTCTTCAATTAAACTCTAAACTCCCAACATTTTTGCAGGGGAAATACCACAAGAGATAGGTAGTCTTCATAACTTGGAGAAACTTTCAATAGGAAATGCATGCTTATCAGGTCTAATTCCACCAAATATCTTCAATATCTCTTCTTTAAGATGGATTTATCTTTACACAAATAACCTTTCTGGTACCCTTCCTATCGACTTGTGCTATCATTTGCCAAATCTTGAGGAGCTTTATTTGAATGAGAATCAGTTAATTGGCTCAATTCCCTCAAGCATAGGTAGATGCAAAAAGCTTCAGCTGTTGGTTTTAGAAGCTAATAGATTCACTGGATATATTCCAAGAAGCATTGGGAACTCGTCTGCATTTGTTGAAATATATCTTAGTTACAATGACTTGGAAGGTAAGATTCAATGAGCTTGCCAGGACCATTCCAAAGGGTATTGGAAACTGAACTTTACTCAATTATTGGATATTTCTAAAACTGAACTTTACCAATATAATGTACACTCTTTCTCCAAAACTAATTTTTCATCTCTTGTCTTCCCTTAACAATTTTATCTTTGCAAAAAATTGAACGCAAGTTAAAAAGTTTATCAATTAATTTGTTTATATGTTTGACAGGTGAAATACCAAAGGAGGTTGGCAAATTACCCTTGAGGGTTTTAGAAATAGGATTCAACTTCTTATCTGGTTCCATTCCTCCCACAATCTTCAACATCTCAACCTTGGAAGAAATTTACTTAGCAAGGAATAACCTTTCAGGACATCTTCCTTTAACTGTTGGACTTGGGCTTCCAAAGCTTACTAACCTAAATCTATTTGAAAATAAAATCAGTGGCATTTTTCCAAGTTGTATCTCCAATTCTTCCCAGCTTACCGTTCTAGACATAAGCAATAACTCATTCTCTGGCCCTTTCCCTAATTCACTTGGCAATCTAAGATCCCTTAAAAAGCTTCGCCTTCTTGGAAACATGTTCTCTAAATTATCCACTTCAGAAAGAAGCTTTCTCTCTTCTTTCATAAACTGTAGATTTTTGACATCTCTAGGTATATCATCTGATTCATTGAATGGTGTCCTTCCGAGGTCAATTGGGAATCTATCTAGATCTCTTCAATATTTTTATATAATCAATAGCAAATTCTATGGAAACATTCCTATAGAAATTGGCAACTTGAGCAACTTGATAACTCTGTCTCTTTATGGTAATGATTTGACTGGACCAATTCCAGCAACAATTGGAAGATTGCAACAGCTTCAAGGTCTATTTCTTGATGGTAATAGACTGCAAGGAACAATTCCGAATGATCTATGTCATTTACAGAGATTAGATCAATTGGAATTGGAAAGCAATCAGCTCAATGGATCCATGCCAGAGTGCTTAGCCAATTTGACTTCTTTAAGATATCTAGACTTAAGTTCCAACAACTTATGTTCTACCATACCCTCAACCTTTTGGAGTCTTAAATATATCTTGGAAGTATACTTGTCATCAAATTCATTCAGTGGCTCCCTTCCATTAGATTTTGGAAACCTAAAGGTCTTGATCAAGGTGGATTTATCTAGAAATCAGCTATCAAGCAATTTACCTAGCACCATTGGGGATCTCAAAGATCTGACTTATCTTTCCATAACAGAAAATGCATTAGAAGGTAACATTCCTCAGTCATTTGGTGGCTTGGTAAGCTTGGAATTCTTGGATCTCTCTAACAACATTCTCTCTGGAGTGATTCCTAAGTCTTTGGAAGGACTCTCTTATCTCAATTTCTTCAATGCATCTTTCAATAGACTTGAAGGGGAAATTCCAAGTGGAGGATCATTTAGAAACTTCACCGCTCAGTCATTTATGGGAAACGCTGCCCTTTGTGGTTTGCTAAGATTTCAAGTACCTCAATGTAAGTCCCACGAAAAATCCATCAATGTGCTACAATTAGTAGTGCCACTTGTAGCAACTACCATATTGATACTTTCCCTTGTTGTCATCATCATCTTCAAAAGACGACATAAATCAAAAGCAAAATCCATGGATGAAGAAATTTTGCCATGCCTAGCAAAATGGAAGAGAATTTCATATCATGAGCTTCAACATGCGACTGACAAATTCAATGAAAGAAACATACTTGGCACAGGGAGTTTTGGGTCAGTATACAATGGGACACTTCCAGGTGGAATGAACATTGCAATAAAGGTCTTCAATCTGCAAGTAGAGGGTGTACTCGAGAGTTTTGACACAGAATGTGAAGTATTATGCAATTTTCACCATCGAAATCTCGTTAAAATCATTAGCAGCTGCTCTAATGAAAACTTCAAAGCTTTGGTGCTCGAGTTCATGCCTAATGGAACCTTGGAGAAGTGGTTATATTCTAATAGATGTTGTCTAAATGTCTTGCAAAGATTAAATGTAATGATTGATGTGGCTTCTGCTCTAGAATATCTCCACCATGGAAATTCAGTTCCAATCATCCATTGTGATTTGAAACCTAGCAATGTGTTGCTTGATGAAGATCTAGTTGCACATGTGGGGGATTTTGGCCTTGCCAAGCTTTTGGGAGAAAAAGAATCTATGATGCAGACAATGCAAATTGCCACTATAGGTTACATGGCACCAGGTGATCATTCATTTTTCTCATTTTTTTAATTTTTTTGTTATTAAATATTAAACATAATATTGTACAATTTGATATAGAGTATGGATCATTGGGAATGGTTTCTACAAAAGGTGACGTTTACAGCTATGGCATCTTAGTCATGGAGACATTCACAAGACGAAAACCTACAGACAAAATGTTTATTGGAGAGATGAGCTTGAAGGCGTGGGTGAATGAATCATTATCTCATTCAATAACTGAAGTTGTGGATGGCAATTTGATGGAGGAGGATGAGCATTTCATTGCCAAGGCAAATTGTGTATCATCTGTTTTGGAAATAGCTTTGAATTGCTGTGCAGAAGCACCCAAAGTAAGGAGAAATATGATGGACGTCGTAGCAATGCTTAAAAGAATAAAAAATCAATATCTTAATGATATTGGAAATTGAGAAGATCATGTAAATTAAATAACTAGAATTAGAGACTACTTTAGTATTGAAATTATGGTTTTGGACAAAGAATAAAAATAGTTTCTTTACGTGGATAAAATTCATAAAATAAATTACTAATTTTATGGAAAACTCCATTCTGTTTCCCTATTCATCTTGTTGGCACTGCATTGATAATGCTTTAATTTTAGGCTTTGGAAGAATGTAAAGGCATACATGCATAACTGTAAATGGGCAGCAGAAAGAGCTATTTAAGACAGTTTGGGCATAAAATGGTCATTTCCCCTTACAAAGAGGGAGACTTTTCTTTCAAGCTGAAAATATCAAAAACAAGTATTGTTCAAAGAAAAGGACAGAATATATATATATTTTTTTTTTGCACAGAGAGGAATTTTTCAAATGAAGGAGAAAATAGAATTTGAGAATAAAACTCAAATTATTTATATTCAATCACACACTTTAGAGTGGTCATTAAGTTACCTAAGGCTGAAAGACATAACAGTTTTAAGACTAGTAACCCGTAAAAGTTGAGAAATAATGACTCTAATTATAAAAGTATATTATCACCATAATTGTAAAATCACTAACATTAATATAAACAATGTCAATGGTGTGAATATCTTATATAAAACAATGTCAATGGTGTGAATATCTTATATAAAACAACAGAATTATCGAAAACAATACTCTTCAGAAAAAAACAACAGAATTATCCGACATTAATAAGAGTTGAGAGGGGAGGAAGAAAATGGAAGTTTAAATGTAGTGAAGTTAACGAGGAAAGACCATAGGAGAGCGGACACGTGTCCAACAGGGCCTTACGCTGATCGTTTTCGTAACGAGATGAACGGACCATGTGGTGGTTCTTCGGACCGACTTCGCCACGTGGCTTCTTGACCCAGTTAGTGCTA